GTTCATCAGGCTCGCATTCAAGATCATGATATACATTACCTATAAACTAAAACGATTGAGTGACATACCTCTTAAGGGAGGAGTCAAATGTGCTGTATGAATCCGCTTGAGTTTTCCAGGCTATCCTAAACTTCGATCCTCAGAAACAAAGAAAAGAAATAATAGTTAACCATCATGTAAACACTTGTATCAAATGCATTAAGGTTAATCAGATCCTTTCTTAAACATATATTTCATATAGCTAACTCAGTAAATCTACATAGAGTTGGAAATATAACTCAGATAGTTAACTCAGTAAACCAACATTCTCCTCAGAACCTCTCCTAAACAACATATCAACATACCGAGAAAAGATACAAATCATGCAAATCCTCTATCATACCACTTCTAAACAACAGATCACAACTTAATGTTACAATACAACAGATAATTCCAATGCCATCTAATTATACCGTAACCTAAATATCACAAAAAGACAGATGATGTTTACACTCGAGTTTAAACAATAAATCAAACGATAAAAACCTTAATTCTGATAAGCTTTTACAATAACGAACTAGAGAGAACCAAATATCCAACGCTAGTTAATTGTGAATCAACAATAGTAAACTTTACAGACAAGGTGAATTCAACCAAAGAAGAAAGTGAACAAAATAAGAACAAGACTGAGAAGAGACTTGTACCTGACTAGGATGGACAAACACGGAGAAACTAGGAAGGGGAAAAGGCCGAGATCCAGAAGACGCGGAGGAGCGTGGACAAAGACGGAGGATGGACAAAGACGGTGGATTAAGAGACGGTGAGATCTCCCGGAGAAGAAAAAGAATGAAGGATTTCGATAAGACGGTGGATTTCGAATGAAGGATTTCGATAAGCCCCTAAATCGATTGTGTTTGACAGAGAAAGAAGAAATAACAGAGATCAAAAATCGTTCCCATGGTCGATGAAACTAGGGTTCGAACAAAAGAGGAAGAAACACGATTTGGGGATTTTTTCTTCTTTCGACAAAACACAAAATAATAAACCAAAGAAAAATCTTTATTTTTAGCCCACTCCCGCTGCGCCACGTGGCCTAAGATTCGGAGTCCAACGCTTGTTGGAGACGAAGCGGATGGACCTTGCGTTTTCCCTGTTTGATTTTATTGGGCTTATTTAAAAGGTCTTCAAACAGAGGAGGATTGTTATAGGATTCCTTATGCAAGCAAGTAGGATGACACGTGATTTAATCTAACGGTGAATAAAAGAGTGGAGGAGAAAGAGCCACGTCTAAGGTGTTGTTACAAGCTGAAACAAATAAAGAAGAGTGAAGACCTGTATCGTCTTCTTCATTACGATTTTTCATAAGATTATATTGTAATCATCTCCTCTCTAAATTCTGGGTTTGCTGGTGTGTTGCTCATCTTTTACTGGAGTTGTTTCTCATTTCTAGACTCTTGTAAGGTGGGATCTGGATCTTTGTTGTTTGTAAACATTGGTTCATTTCGTTGTTTGAAATTCTAAATCGGTGTGTTGTTATTTCTTTATCAGAAAACAACAACGCAGATGAAGACGATGAAGATGAAATTGATTCAAGCAAAGCGGCGTAGTAAGGCAAAGGAGAAGAAGAGAAAGTTAATCGGCCAAAGGAGAGAAAGAGAAGGGGAGAAAAGAGGCAAGCTATTTTGTCCGTTGGATTAATTAAATCAATGGTTCAGATTGTAATCCTTATGTTTACATATCATCCAATGAAAAAGCTTCATTGTTTAAATAATTTTCTATTTGGTAAATCCTATTTAAAGAATAATTAGTTCCATTAAAAATTTATAATTTAATATATTCTGCAATTTAAAATTCATAATTCAAGAAATGAAATTTAAATTTTAGGATTTGGGAATTGGGGTTTTAAGATTCAGAAGAAAATTATATTTGATTTAGATTTAAAAAATGATTAGTTTTAGGTTTCAAACTGACTAAATTAAAATATATTTTTAATTAAATTAAATTTTAAGTATTTTGTTTTTTTGCAAATTATCTGTAAATACTAAATAGTTATTCGTACTGGTTTGATACATATATTTTGGTTGAATGGTTTATGATTTTATTTCTATATATGCATTATATATGAATGGCTTAAGATTTGTAAAATTATATTTTCATATAAATATTAAATCTTGGTTATATGTATATATAATAATGATGGTTCTGTTTTGGTTTTATGGTTTATTAATTAACTTCTTAGAAAAATGGAAAGTTATTTAGATCTTATGATTTAGGTTTTGGAGTTTGGTTAAAAGTTTTGGGTTAAATTTTAAAAATTTTGATTTTCTAAAATAGCGACTGAAATGCGACTTCTTAGTGACCTTTACAAAGAGTCGCATATTAGTCGCTAAATTAGTGACTAATTAGCGACTAATTGTTCCGATATATAATATAGTCGCTAAATTAGTGACTATCTAGCGATTACCTGTTCTTATATGTAATATAGTCATTAAATAGTCGTCAAAGTACGACTAAAATACCGACTACTATATGTAGTCATAAAAAGGCGACTAAGTTACGACTAAATATTGGTGGTCATAAAATTGTCGTCTTATAGTCATTATATGTAGTCGCCAAATGTAGTTGTAAAATCCATGTTTTCTTGTAGTGAACCTTTTAAAACTTTCGTAAACCTTTTAAAAACTTTGTAAATCATTTTCTAACATTTATAAACTCTTGTAAATCCCTTTAAACTCCTTATAACCGTGATAAATCCTTTAATAAAAATTTCTGTAAACTTCTAAAACCCTTTAAAACCCCTTGTAAATCCTTAAAACCATTTTAAAGTCCTTGTAGTACCTTCAAAAACCTTTGTAAACCCTTTAAATACATTTGTAAACTTTGAAAACCCTTTAAATACCTTTGTAAATCCTTTAAAACTATTTTTAAATCTTTGTAAATATCTTTCAAAATCCTTGTAAATCCTTTTTAAACCAATTTTAAATCCTTGTAAATGCTTTGAAAACACTTGTAAATCCTTTAAAAAACTTGTAAATCCTTTAAAAAAAAACCTTTAAAAATCGTTGTAAATTTTTAAAAACCATTTGAAAATCCTTGTAAATCCTTTTAAAACTTTTATAAACTTATAAAAACTTTAAAAACCCATTTTAAATCCTTTTAAAAACCATTCAGAAACTTTTGTGAGCTTCTAAATCCCTTTAAAACCATTAAAAATCTTTTAAAAATCATTTAAAAACTCTTGTAATCCTTTAAAAATCCTTGTAAACCCTTTTAAAAATATTTGGCGGGAAAATTTTTGTAAAGTCTTTTTTTGCGCAAAATTTTTTGGCTAGAAAATTTGTCGGAAAAGATTTTGGCGGAATTTTTTGGGGGAGAAATTTTTGGAAGGAACATTTCATACAAAGGAAGGAATATCCTTTCAACTAGGGTAAAATGGTCACTAAAATTTAAAAGAGGGCAAAATAAAAATGACAAAAAGAGGGTAGTTTTGCAAAAGGGTATCATAAAAAGGTTATTAGTAAGAATTTCTCATTTTTATTTATGATGACGATTATGTTTAATGTTTTAGTATAAGTTAAATATTCTTTTTTGTATATATTTTAGCCTCACATTTGCGAGCAGTGATACCATGGCTACTTTGGGAGATTTGGAAAGCTAGAAACGGGTTAGTGTTCTCACAACAAGCTATAAACCCCCATATCGTGTTGGTCACGGCATTAAGAGACATGGAGGAATGGTGTCAACAACAAGAAAACCGTGAGAATGAGTTCCGGGTTGGTGGTAGAGTACTTTTGGCAACCGGAAAACTTTGGATTCATCCGCCGTATGGGACGCTCAAATGCAATATTCATTCATCTTGGATAAATGAATCTTCTTTTAGTGGTGGAGCTTGGGTCTTGCGTAATCATGAAGGAGATGTTATGCTTCATGCGAGAGATGCTTTTCGGCCTTGTTATAATCGTATTGCATCGGAGCTGAAATGTGTTCTATGGAGCTTATCTAGTTTACATGATCTTCATTATGACATTTGTGAAGTTTGGTTGGACTGTAAGGCAGCTTGGGAAGCTATCACAAATCCAGTTTCTTGGCCTAAATATCGTGCATCGTTATCTAAGATCGGGCAAGTAATACGGGTGATGCGGAAGGTTTCTTTTCACCTTTCTTCACCGAAAGCTAATTTATTGGCTAGGGAAATTGCTTGCAGCGGTGCACGGGATGGTCGACTAACTTCGTATCTAGCACTTGGTGGTCCGTCTTGGCTTCATGACCGGATTGAAAGGGACAAACGTCGTGGAGTTTAATTCTTGGTTTCTTTTCCTTTACGATTTTTGGTTTCCATCTTATGGCTTATGGTTTTGTTATGCACACTCATTTTCTAATAATATTGAATCATTCAGCGTTAAAAAAATAAGTTTAGAACTTTTAAATGTTATATTTTAAAATATTTTAATAAAATTTAAAATCGATACATGTCACTATCTTATCGATCCAGCTGACACGTTCACGATCACGTTAATGACTAACTTTGAAAGCCATACTTTATATAATATATATATATATATATATATATAGCATATGTTTCCAAAACATATTTGTATCCTAATTTATTAAGAAAAAACATTTTCTATTTCCAAAATGTTTCTATATATCTGTTTCGGTTTCCGCATATCTGGTTCGGTTTTCATGCAAGGTTTTCTTTCGTTATACAAATTTAGCAAGAGGTCTGGGTATTGAATCGGTCCATAACACAAGATTAACAAAACTAGCTAAAGACTAACTTTTGGGCTTTGTGTCCAATACTTGTCAAAACTTTATAAATACAATCTTAACAAATTTACATTACATACATCTTTAAGATAATTACAGAACGCAAAGTTTTCCTTTTTTTCTTTTTAAGCTGATATTTTCATTAGATTTATGTTTTCCTTTTAACGTGCCTATAAAAACAAACCTAATTACCTTACCCTCTCCTTGTATAATCATTCTTCTTCTCTCGCAAACCCTAAATCGAACTGAATTCAGTTCCTCTCTCAACCTTAAGGTTTATGTTTCTCTGACTCTTCTCTTCAACTTTTGTGTCTGAACTTTTCGTTCTGTTCCCCTGTTTACTATAACTGCGATTATTACAAATTAGGGTTTCTCGTTTTTGCGTGTATAAGAAGCTTTGAGGATACTTATTTCTTTTTAATTATGTTTTGTTTCCAGATGAATACAATGATGCAAATCCATGTAAAGACTCTTACGGTGAAAACCCTAACCCTTGACGTTAAAAGCTCTGATACTATCTATCATGTCAAGACACAGATTCATGACAAAGAAGGGGTTCCTCTAGACCAGCAAATACTTATCTTTTCTGGTAGGCTACTAGACGATGGCCTTACTTTGGCTGAATACAATATTCAGAAAGATTCTGTTCTCTACTTGCCTTCGTTGTTAAGACTCTTTCTTGGCCCAATACCATAACTCTTGAGGTTGAAAGCTACTACACTATTAGCAATGTCAAGGCAAAGATTCAGGAAATATATGGTATCCCTCCGGAATACCAGAAACTTGTCTTTGTCTCTGAGAGGAAGGTAGAGGACGATGGTCGAACGCTTGCAGATTACAACATCCAGAATGAGTCTAACCTTTTTCTTGTTAATACTATATTTGGTAGAAGATGTCGTATCTGTAATCCTGAATAGTTCATTTACTATCTTACAGCTCCTAATAATACTGAAACAAACTCAAACAACCTCCGATACTTGTATTGATAATGGTGAAGAGAGACTACTTTCACTTTCTTTTTCTGTCTTTAAATTGAATGTAAAATTGTATTCAACCAAAAATACTTGTTTACAATTATGAATGCTTCAGTTTGTTTTAGCACATTGAAAGTAGAAGAAAATGTTTGAAGAGATTGAAAGGATCTATTCGTAAGCCGAACTCGAATGGATGATCCCCCTAGATCTTCTTTGTGGTTGCATGCAAATATTTTGTGAAAAGTTGAAAACCCTAACTGGCAAAACGATTACTATAGAAGTTGAGAGCTCTGACACCATCGACAATGTCAAGGCCAAAATCAAAGACAAGGAAGGGATCCCTCCGGACCAGCAGAGAAACTTATCTTTGCGGGCAAGCAACTTGAGGACGGCCCAACACTTGCGGTGGTGGTGGCATGACGTCAAACAATATTACAGCAATCGTCCAAAAAAGTTTATATCTCTTTTTCTTTTGTCAATTGAATGATTATTATCAAAGTAAAAAAAAATATTACAACAGCCAACGAAATGCTACAGCAGCTAAGCTAAACTATTAAGACAAACATTATGACAAAAAAACTAAGCTTCAAAGAAAAGATCAAACTGAAAGGAACTGATAGAAAGAAATATAGCAGAAAATTCAAACGTAAAATGAAAAATTAAGTGTGTAACTTTGAACCAGAGGTGGTGGGCTAGTGGTTCTTATATAATGTGAAAGTTAATCTTATTATTAGAGTGTTTACAACTATATATAAAGAGGTATAAGAGAGCTAGCTAGAGATTACTAAAAGACATAAAAACCCTTATTACAATATGATACATTCTCTACACACCCCCTCAAGATGGAGGGATTTTAGTGACTCCAATCTTGGAGCACGCATGAAGAAACAGAGTACGGGGAAGCGGTTTGGTTAAGGCGTCAGCAAGTTGGTCTTTCGCAGAGACATGGGACACTCGAAGAGCACCGGATTGAACTTGTTCTCGCACAAAATGGTAGTCCAAGGCAATGTGTTTCATCCTAGAATGGAAAACCGGATTTGCACTCAAGTATGTTGCACCAACATTATCACAGAAGATGACCGGTGCCGTTGGTATATGGATTCGAAGTTCAGTGAGGAGATTACAAATCCAGCGAATTTCAGCAGATGCATTAGCAATGGCTCTATATTCTGCTTATGTGGAGGATCTAGAAACACCATGTTGTTTCTTAGAAGACCAAGAAACTGCTTGATTTCCAAGATAGATCACATATGCATTTGTGGAGACATAATCATCCGAGTCACCAGCCCAGTCTGCATCCGAAAAGGCTCTTACAACAGGAGCATTGTGAGTAGGTAAAAAGACACCGTGAGTCATGGTACCTGCAAGGTACCTTAGTATGCGCTTAGCTGCCTGCCAATGGTCAGTCATGGGACAATGCATAAATTGAGACAGTCGGTTAACAACATACGAAATATCCGGCCGAGTGAAAGCAAGATACTGAAGGCTCCCCACAACCATTCTAAACTGAGTCGCATCTTGTAAGGGAGTATCAGAGTCACGTTTTAACTTGGGTGAAGCAGCCATGGGAGTGGCGACACTCTTGGAGTCCATCATGTTCGTCTTGTGCAACAAATCCAAGATATATTTCCTTTGCATCAAGTGTAGACCAGATTTGGTACGTGTAACTTCAATGCCTAGAAAATAACTAATATCACCTTGATCTTTAAGCGAGAAACGGGCTGCAAGAGAAGCAATCATACGAGCCACAACTTGTGAATCATTACCCGTAACAATGATGTCGTCAACATATACTAGCATATAGAGAAGAGTCGGGCCTTGACTGTAAACAAACAATGAGGCATCTGCATAACTGTTTTGAAAACCAGAGAGAAGAAGGAAATTGCGAAGTTCCAAATACCAGGAGCGAGGGGCTTGTTTGAGGCCATATATTGCTTTGCGAAGTCGACAAACGTGATCCGGACGGTCCTTATCAACAAAGCCTGGAGGCTGCTCCATGTAAACTTCTTCTTGAAGAGTCCCTTGGAGGAACGCTTGATTGACATCTAGTTGACGGATAGACCAGCCATTACTTTCAGCATGTCCAAGGACTGTTCGAATCGTGACAGCTTTGACGACAGGGCTGAATGTTTCTTTGTAGTCCAACCCATATTCTTGATGAAATCCTTTGGCCACGAGACGTGCCTTATATTTATCAAGTTCTCCGGATGGTATAATTTTTGTTTTGTAGACCCATTTACAGTCAACAACATTTTGTAATGGCTTTGGTGGTACAAGATCCCATGTACGATTAGCTAACTGGCCATTGTACTCTTCAGACATGGCATGACGCCATCTACTATCGTTGAGAGCTTGTCGATATGTCCTTGGTTCAGGTGAAAACGATTTGCGGAGAGTAATAGCAAGGCTGTATTTGGTGTTGGGCTTGTGTATCTGATTTTTGCTTCTTGTTGTCATCGAATGTGTGTTGGTAGGTTGGTTTGGATTTTCATTTGCATTTTGATTTGGATTTGGATTTACAGGTGGGTGTGGGATTGGTAATGGGTCTGGTTGTGGTTCTGGTGCAGGAGACGTAGGTGGAGAAGGTGTGGGATTTGGTGAAGGCGCCGGCAAGGGAGACGCAGCCGACGATGTGGTCGTCGTCGACGAACCAGACGACAAGCGAGGTGAAGAAGAAGCAGGGGAAGTGTAGGTATGATTTCCACCATTGACCGCATCAAATAATAGGGATGGACCAGTGGGCCTTTGGGAAGTAGGTTGATGAGATGATGTAGGGTGGATTGGGCCAGTGGGCCTTTCTTGGGTGACTGAATTTATTTGTGGGATAGGTTGAATATGGGCTTTGCCAGTGGGCCTTTGAGTGGACATAGAAGAAGAAGAAGTTAAAGGATTAAGAGAAGGAGGTGATACCTGAGCATTGGGCGCCGGACTGGCAGCTATGAGCGGAGACGTGGGATGGGGAGGTAATGACGGCGTCGTCGGAGGACTGTGGTGAGGATCGACGCTTGGAGGCATTTGTGCAGGCAAAACCATGGAGTGAGGAACAGTCGCAAAGGCAGAAACCGGAGTATCCCTTGTTTGTGAGGCGGAAACTGTAGCTGGAGGAGAGACAGGCATCGCCGGAGAGCGACATGGGAAACTCGTTTCATCAAACGTAACATGCCTGGAGACATACACTCGACCCGTGGGAGGATGAAGGCATAGATAGGCGCTTTGCGTGAGAGAGTAACCAACAAATACACACACCTTTGATTTTTCCTCTAATTTGTGGTTCATGTATGGTTTCAGCCATGGATAACAAGCACAACCAAAAATGCGAAGCTTGGTGTAGTTGGGAGTCACCTCAAATAGTTTACGATAGGGAGTGTCATGACCAAGAACCGGTGTTGGCATTCGATTAATCAAGTACACCGCTGTCGCAAACGCATATGGCCAATACTTCTTGGACATTGCTGCAGTGGAGAGTAAAGTCATACTAGTCTCTACAATGTGACGATGTTTTCTTTCAGAGACACCGTTGTGTTCGGGTGTATGTGGAGGAGAGGTGAAGTTAGAGATCC